CCTAATGTGCCTTATCAGCACTCCGATGATAATGGCACAGGAGGAAATAAATGCTGCTCCCCATTTGGCTCCTTTTCTCACACTCTGCCCTGGGGGAAACAACAGGCGATGGGAAGACCCTTCCGGGATCCTGCAGTGGGTGCGGGGGGTCTGAGTGCTCGACGAGAGGCTGTGTCTGCGTTCCCACTGATCTCTTTACCGTTTGCTCCCTGCAGACGTCCTGGACGCCGGGATGGATGCTGGAGGACGCAGCGCTTGGACCCGGCGCAGCTGCGGCTGCTCAGATGTGTGACATTTGCCAGGCGACCTTCCCTGCAGACACCGCAGCTCAGGCTGACTATTTAAAGCACGTCTTAACCCACATGAAGTAGGGCTTTAGGACTTTGTGCTCAGAAAGCCATGGGTGTGCAGCTGTGAGCGGCACAACGGGCTCCGGACCTGCATGAGATGCGGCTGCTGGGGCAGCTCAGGCTGCAGTTCCGTTCTGTGCCACCCGGATCGGTGCCTGCTGTGCTGCCTGGGGGCTCAGCGGGGGTTCTGGGTGTATTTCGGCTCATTGAGCTTCATGGGTATCAAAACTGCTTTTGTGCTGAGCTCCAGATGCATGTAGGAGGTTTGGGGAGCTGCAGCTTAATGGGAAGTGGACATTTTTTTCCAAAGTTCTCTGTAACTGGAAAATGCTGAATTTTTTTAATTTTTTTTTTTCCTTGAATAGAGACATTTGAAAGCTGCATTGTTGCTTTTTCCAAGAACACAGGAGGGGGGATCACCATGTTTTCATGGCACTAAATCTGAACTCGCTTTTGGAGAGGGTGCCAGCGCCGCATGCACGATGCCACCCACCCTGCAGCAATGCATAGCTCCCATCCCTATAAGGGGCACAACTGAGACCCCTCCTCATTAAAACCCCATCAGCTCTGGCTCGTTAGCTCCTGGGAGTTTAATTGCTATCCAGGTGGGAGGAGGCTGCTCGAAGCCCATAGAGGAGGGGTGGGCTGATGGGTGTAGGGAACAGCAGAACAGGAAGGAGTTCCTGCCGCGCAGCAGCCAGGTGGGCACATGGTGTTATTCTGCCATATCCCTTCTATCTGGAGAGCCATCTGCAAACCCAGAATGAAGATTGCACTCTTCCATTAACAGCACACGTGATGCTGCTATTCTATAATGCTTTCTCTCAATACGCACCCATGCGCTTTGTGGAGGAATTCACCTGCAGAGCTGAGGAAACAGCAGGGCAAAACGCCGATTAGCTCCAAATCATTGTTTTGTTCTTTTTCTTTCCTTTGGAAAAGCCTTATCTCAGACCTTTACGCTTAACAAGTAGCTCTGAAACGGATCTGGCATCGCATCTCGGAGGCAACTTGTGTTTAAATCAACGTCCGGCGTCTCTGCTTCCATGGATCGAGATTAATTCCTGTCTCCAGCTCCAGAATCTCATCTTTAGCAGCACAGATAACAGCAATGACTCGAGGCTCTTCCCAGAAGCGTAGCTGCATTATGAAGCAGTGCAGCTGATGATGAACATCTGTGTGTCCCGAGGGCAGGGACTGACTTGCATGGGGCAGCACCGGGTCCTGGCAGTTTGGGATCTGCAGATTTGGGGTTTGCGGTCTGGGGACCATTTTCCAGGATGGAGCCCTCAGCTCTCTTTGAGCTGCATCTCTGGGCTCAGTTCCTTCCATGCAGATTCTCGAGCTGTTCCTCACCCTGAGCATGGACAAGACCTTGACTTGGTTGGGGTTTCTTACAGTGCTGCCTTCCCGTTGGCATCTCCAACAGCTCCAAGCTGCCTCCTGTGGCTCCCTGATTTAATTAGGCAGTGGCATAATTCTATGGTGTTTTCTGCTCTTCTATAGGGCCTGGAAGAAAATATCAGTTTGCAGCTTGCAGAGTTGCTAGAAGCACCAGCTCTGACAGCGCTCTGCATCAAGAAGGGCCATAAATTCATTTGGCATAATATTGTAACAGCCATCCAGAATTTGCCAGAAGGAAGAAAACCAACCCAGTTCCTCCTGCTCTGAGAGCAAGTCCAATAAATTTAATTTAAAAACTGTGAGCACAGATGGCTTTTCTCAAGAGTCAAAGCAGTCGTGGCAGAGGGCCGACTTCTGTGAGATGCGTTTTGTGATGAGATGCAGGTGTGTTTGCATGGCACAGTTCAAATTAACGGGAATAGTGTGAGTGTAGAGCCCTACACCCAAAGAGGGACAACTGCATGCACCAGTGCAGGTCAAGGGCTGAGCTGCTGGAAGGGAGCTCCGTGGAGAAGGACCTGTGGGTCCTGGTGGCTGACAGGGTGATTGTGAGCCAGCAGTGTGCCCTGGTGGCCAAGATGGCCAATGGTGGCCAACAGGTTGACCAAGGGTTCGCCACGAACCTGCAGTGTGCCCTGGTGGCCAAGAAGGCCAGTGGTATTCTGGTTGACCAACAGCTGACCAGCAATTGACCAACCATTGACTATGGGCCAGCAGTGTGCCTTGGTGGTGGAGAAGGCCAGTGGTAGATGAGTGGTTGACCAGCAGTGGACAAATGGTTGACCAACAGTTGACCAAAGATGGACCTCAAGCCAACAGCGTTCCCTGGAGGCCAAGAAGGCACACTGTTGGCTGCACAGAGCGTGGCCAGCAGGGCAGGGAGGTGCTCCTCCCCTCTGCTCTGCACTGGAGAGGTTTTGGGATTGTGTGACAAATCACTCTGGGCTCGTTTAGGGTCACTCAGACCTCGAGTTTTGGTGTGATGCTCTGCCTGTGCTCCTTTCCTGGTGTCTCAGGCTGGGGCTGAGCTGTAGAGGTTCTGCCACCATCTAACTTCACTGCATGAACTTTCTCAACGTGCTTCGTTGTATTTTTAGATGTTGAGTTGTACGGTGCAATTAGTCACCCCCCCTCCCAGCCAGATGGTCCACGGTGACACAGGAGTTTCTTTTTTTAATCCCACACTTTCCATTGGTGTGAGCATGCTTCTGCTTCCCAAATAACCTTAAGTATAGGGTGTTTGTTTTAGCTGCAGGGTGGGCGGTGTTATTGTTTTCCCCAGGTCTGCTCACCGGGTCTGTGGTGTTGTCATTTCTGGAAAGGAATGGCAGATTGGTGGCAGTTTCCAGTAAGGAGAAATTGGAAAAATCAAGGCTGGATTGGAAAATCAAGCAGAATTACGCCTGTTTTATTTCTTGCTGCTGGGTGCAATGCCTTGGGTTGGGGGTCGGCGTGTACTCCTGTGGCTCTTGGTTTCAAAGCAGGGCTGGGTGAAGGCGATGCCACCATTTCCCAATGGAAACCAAACTTTGAAACTGCAGCTGGAAAACAGATCAGGGTGGGAAATGTCCAGTTGTTGGGTTTTCTAATGAAGAATACTGGGCTGTGGGGAGGGAAAAGGGGACATGGGCGTCCTGGCCGAGCGCAATTATCCAGTATCAGAAACATTACGACCACATTTTTACAGGACCCAAAAGCAATCAGGATCCCACCGGACACAGGAGGGGGAATGCAATACCTCTAATGGGGAATGTGGTGAAATATTTACATTTCCTCCATCAGCAGCAATATTTCTTGAAGGAAGGAAGCTGCACTTGTGCCCAATCCCCCCCCCCAGCTGCTCCCCATCCCCAGGGGAAGGGGTTCACCACCCCACAACCCACAGCAGGAGCACACCTACGCTCCCAGAGTGGGTAGGAAACTGCTACTGTCTCTGTTAATTAATAACTGATCCTCTGTTTACATCTCCCATTAATAGAAGAGAAATGTTTTCCTTATCCCAGACATGAGCTCAAGGAGTCTGAAGCTGGGACACGGAACAAAGGGCGTTTCCAATCACATAATAACATCAGAGCATTACCACCAGCAGAGTGTTACTGTGAGGGCTGAGAGCCGTGTCTTGGGCAGGGGATTTGGGAAGGGGCTTTTGACTTTAGGATTTGCCACTGAAAATAAAGCAGGGAGCAGCAAAAGGGAGTAACAGTGCAGTCCCTGCAGCAGGGTGAGCCTTGGGTGTGATTGGAGGATCTTTTAGGGCTTGGATTCCCTTGAAAACACTCCGTTTGGGGGTCGTGGAGGATGTCAAGCTCCCAAAACATTTGGGGAAAAGCAGTTTTTGAGGTTTTTGCCAACACTTCTGCAAAATGCCCATCAGAGGGGGAAGTGTCTGCCAGCCCCCTGTGCTTCTGACCACTTTCTGCTGGGGAAATGGGGCCTCCAGGGGGGACTAGTCCTGTCCCTGGGGGATGAAGGGAGTGTTGGGGGTGGTAAGTTGAGGGGAGGACACTGAAAGAGGCCAGGAAGGGGCAGGGAGCTGGGCATGAGGATGGAGGGCCAACAGAGGGTGAGGATGGAAGGGGGGAGGGGGATGCTTTGAGGGAGCCTGGGGGTGATTCTGAGGGGAGCTTATGGGATGCTGGAGGGGGAGCAGAGTGATACTGGAAAGGGAATTATGCTGGAGGGGATTCAGGGGGTGATGCTGTGGGAATGATGCTGGAGGTGGGGGGATGCCGGCGATGGGGGTGATGTTGGCGGGGAATTGTGGGGTGATGCAGGAGAGGAGGTGGTGCTGAGGAGGAATTGAGGGTGATGCTGCACAGGGGTGAACTGGGGAATGATGCTGGAGAGGAGGTTGGTGCTGAGGGTGCTGATGGTGTGGGGCTGAAGCTGGAGGGAGCAGGGGGGGGTGCTGTCTGAGTGCTATGGGGCTGCTGCTGAAGGGGTGGGGGGCAGGAAGGAAATGCTGGTGGCACAGAGACATGGGGGTGATGATGATGGGGGCCTCGAGGGGTGATGCCGGGGAGTGTAGGGGCCGTGCTGAAGGGGATCTATGCGGGGGGAAGAAGGGAGGCTGTCAGCTGCCCCCCCAGTGTCCCCCCGATGCCCCCCCAACGGGCTCTGCCTCCTTCCCCCGCCCCCTCCCGGCCCTGGGCGGGGTCTGTTCCCGCTCCGGAGATGGTGGAGCCGATGTGAGCGGATCGGGGTGCAGAGCGGCTGCGGCCCCCCCTGGCCCCGAGCCCCGGGGGGAGCCCGGCCCCCCCCAGGCCCAGCTATGCCCGCGGGCAGTACCGAGCCCGATGGCATCCTCAGCTATCAGGTGGGAGGTGCATGGGGGGGGGGGGGGGGGGGCCCCGGGCCGGGGGGGGGCGGCGGGGGGGCGGAGCGCGGGGGCCGCCCCCGCCGGGGGGCCCGGGGGGGGGCAGAGGATGCAGGATGGGGGGCATGCAGGGCGTCTGCTAGGTTGGGGGCAAAGTATCTGCAAAGAGGGGGGTGTGCGATTGGTCTGCAGTGGGGGTTGGAAGGGATGGGGAGGGAATCTGTAAAATGAGGCATAAGGAACGAGTGGAGAGGAGGGGGGGGGGTGCAGGCTCTGAAATGGGGGTGCAGAGAGGAGGCAGATGTAAGGCCGAAGGGTGGAGGTAGGGGGGCACGGGGGGATGCACAAGGTGGATGCAAAGAGAGGTGAAAGGCGTCTGCCTGGGAGGGGCACAGAGAGCGTATGGGGGGGGGGTTCTCTGGCTGGTGGCACCCCCCTGGGCCCCCCCCCCCCCCTCCCCCGTCCCCTCCACACCTGGACGCGTCCCCTTTGTGTGGCCACAGCCCATCGGAGCAGGGACAAAAGCCCCACAGCACTCAGTCCTGGGAGGGGTTGAGTGCAGCAGGGAGCAGCAGGGAGGTTCCCCCCCCTCCCTCCCCATTTTAGCATCATCTTATCTGGGCTGTCCCCAGGGAGCACCTCCTGGCCCCGTTGCACCCATCTATTGAGCATTCATGGGATCCAGCACCCCATGGGACCTGGCACCTCCCATGGGACTCCATACAACCCATCAAACCCAACCAACCCCATAGAATCACATTCATTTGACCCTGCACCCCAGAGAAGCCTGCACCCCTCACTGGACAGCATGCCTCCATTGCACCCTGCACCCTCTGTGGGATCCTGCACCCCATGGGACCCCCTACATCCCTCACAGGACCCTATGGATCCCTCTCTGGACACCATGCACCCCTCATGGGACCCTATGCACCCTCCATGGGACTCCATGAACCCCCAGTGAGACACCAGATGTCCATTGGACCCTGCTCCCTCTGTAGGATCCCGCACCTCCTCTGACCCTCTGCACCCTCCATGGGACCACATGCATCCATTGGTCCCCATGTCCCTCATGGGACTCCACAAACCCCATGGGATCTTGCACCCCATGACACCCTGGACCCCACATGGGACACATGCACCCATGGGATCCTGCAGCCTCTATGGGAACCCATGCACCCAAGGGACCCCACAGCAGCCCGGGGTCCCCCCTCATATCTGGAGCAGCTGCCTTCAGTGCCAGATGTGGGTATGGGAATGAATTCACCTTCCCTGAAATGGGGGGAAATAAAGATGTAGGGATGGGGATGGAGAAGGGACTGCTCTCAGACCCCCTCTGCCTCCTTCCCAGATTGGCTCCATGCAGGCAGCTGTCCTCATCCAATAAGAACCCCAAGATCAGACTTATTCATTCCATTTGGGTGCAATTAATCCCCTCCCATTGGCTCAGGGACCCTCACAGACCCCGTGCTCCCATCTCTGCAGCTCTGCTTGTGTGGGGTGGGACAGTGGGGATGGGGCTCACAAAGTGCTTTCTTAACTGGAAAAGCTGCAATGAGGCAGGGAAACTGAGGCAGGGAAACTGAGGCAGGGCACCCACAAATCCCTACTGCAACATGAAAATAAAAGAGAAGTTTTTGCTCAGCAAACAGCAACGTGGAACAGCTGCTGCTGCTCCAGGGCTACAAACAAACCCTCGAAACTCGGAGTCCCCTTTCCCATATTGTGACAATTGGGTGTTTTCTATGAAACCATGAGATCTTCCCATTTCCCCAGAGAAATAAACACTGGGGGTCCGTGCCTTAAGGGACAGAGTGTTTTCTCAGGGCCGTTTACTTTGCTGGCACCATTACACGATGCTTCAAACAGGGATGGGCTGCTCAGACCCCAGTCAGACTGTGGGTTTGGCACAAGGAGGTGCCCCCCATTTTCTATAGTTTCACCGAATGCTTGAATAATACAAAAGCAGCAGGATTGGAGCTTGGATCCCCATGGGATTTGTGTTGAGCAGAGCTCAGTGTCGGCTTCCCTCACCGTGTTGTCTTACAGCTGCCTCACCTTTCAGGGCCAGCGCTTCACTTCCGTCCTGAGCGGATAGCAGGAGGGAAATGTGCAGCACAGAGGGATGAGCTCAGAGCGGGATGTAAGGCAGGGCAGTGGAGAGCTGGGGAAGAGAGGGGGTGGTCACCCGGAGGGGTCCCATGTTCTTGTGTCCCACGAGGGTTGTGGGCAGTGGTTTCACCAACGTGGGGTGCAAAGCTGCAGGGGATGGAAATAAGAAACCTTTGCACGGGGCTCCGCTTTGCTGCATCCTCAACCTGGGAGGAGGTTCTGCTGGTTAGAAATAGGTTGCCTTGCTTTGAAAATTTGGAAGAAGCTTTTTTAATCCTTCACCAACTTCAGTCCCGTGTTAGGGCTCAGTTTGACTAATAAGGGGCTAATGGAAGTCGTGCCAAAGTGAGACCTTCCTGCAGTTTGCACAGGAAATTGCCACAAAACCCAGTGCCATCCCATAATATTGGTTTTCCCGACAGTTCGCACGTCAGCAGCTCAGATTTTAAATGCCCAAACGACCTTCAGCCGCTCCATTTTTCAGCCCCGTTAACAGATGGGCTCCAACCTGGAGCACTTTGGGCACCGCTGCCCTTGGCTCAACCAAATCCCTCATCCCCATGGAACTCCAGCAGTATTTTGGCCATGACCTCAGTTCCTGTGGGATGTGGGGATCGGGATTTTGGAGCAGCCCCAGGGCTTGGAGGGCACTGGCTGGTGGAAGGGTTGGTGGGGACATCGTGTTGGTGGGGACATTGTGTTGGTGATGGAAGCATCATGTTGGTGGGAGCATCATTTTGGTGGGGACATCGTACTGGTGGGGGCATCATGTTCATGGCAGCATTGTTTTGATGGGACTGTCATGCTGGTGGTGACACGGTGTTGGTGGGACCACCATTTTTGTGGGGACATAGTTGGTGAGACCATTGTATTGATGGGATCATCATGTTGATGGGGCCATCACGTTCATGAGATCTTCATTTTGATGGGACCATCATGTTGGTGGGACCACCATTTTTGTGGGGACATAGTTGGTGAGACCTTCATTTCGATGGGACCATCACGTTGGTGGGGACACCGTGTTGGTGAGCATCTCCCAGTTTCGGAGTGCGTGTCTTTAATTAACCTCATTGGCCGTGCCCCATGAATTCTGGTTCCAGAAAACCCACCCGTGTTTGTTGGGACTGGGGGCGTCACTGGGTTCCTCCTGGTGGGGACAGCTCTGCTGGGGGAGGGGGGGGGGGGGTTGCAGGATCCACTCAGATGTCCCAGAGCAGCCTGGCTAAATGCAGGACCCAGAGGCTCCACCTGCCCTCAATGATGATGTCCAACATGGGGCTGAGCCAGAGAGCAGCTGCAAGATAACTCTTGTGGAGAAGCTGCAGGTAGCATGGCCAGAGCTCCTTGCACAGCAGCCAGAGGTGGTGCTCTGGGGAGATGGTTTGTGGTGGGCAGGGCGGTGCTGATTGGTGGTACCCACTGAACACACCCAAGCTTGCAAGTTGGCAGTGATTTTGTTCTGTGCTTTCATCCCCTGCTTTTTCTGAGGTTGTTTTGTACAAATCTGGGCTGGGGGAGCTGAATTTGCTGCTAAAATGGGCTGAAGGTGAGCAAATAAGGGAGCCATGAGCGCTGCTTTGGCCATGGGAGCATCAGGTCAACCCCAAGAGCAGCCCTGCTGTCCAACACATCAATCTGGAGAGCAGCGGTGTGGAGAGACCCCCATTCCCCTTCCCAACACATAACCACAGATCGGGGGGTGAGCATCCTCCTGAGCACCTCTGCAGCATCAATTTCAGCTGCAAATCTCCAACAGAAAGTGCACCATTATCGTCTGTTGGAACAGCCCACAATCTTCTGGTGGCTGTGATGTCAGGTATGGTGAATGGGAATTCACAGCTTCCAGCCCTTTGTCATCCCCCTTCATGGAGGAATAATTTGGAAACCAGTGGAAACACAACGGTGCTCATTTGGAGGTCGCAGTTTCTCTTTGCATTGGTGAAAGCACTGCGGTCGTTGTGGTTGAATTCCTGTCCCTGAGTGGATGTGAATGGAGGAATAGATTTTCGGCTTGTGATGCACAAATGCTCTCCTGATGCAGCAATGGTATCTCAGCCCAGGAAAGCATCAGCTCTTTTGCAAGGGGAAAAATCACGTTTTCCATAGAAGGCAACCAGGGCTGACCGTGCTCCCACCGTGCTGGAGATGGAGCTGCCCTTGTAGGTCTCTGCTTTTGGAGTTGGTGACGGCCGTGTCCTGTGGCCAAGTGCCACCTAGCGAGCCCTGCAGGGATCTCCATCCCGCACAGCTGCACTGCATCTTCAGGAATGGAAAATTCATTCCCCCCCCCGGCTTGAAATCTATTTATTTCATAGAATCAGAAAATGGTTTGGGTTGAAGGGACCTCAAGGATCATCCAGCTCCAACCCCCCTGACGCAGGCAGGGCTGCCAACCTCCACATTTAATACTAAACCAGGCTGCTCAGGGCTCCATCCAACCTGGCCTTGAACACCTGCAGGGATGGACGGGGCATCACAGCCTCTGTTTGTTCTAGAAAGCTGCAAAAGCAAAGAAGTACGGGTTTTGTCTTTGAGGGCATCTAACACACGCTACCCTCCCCTCCTGCAGTAAATACTGGCAGCCTCAATTTCTACAAAAGCACGAGAATAAAATGTAATCCTGCTCCTTGCCCAGCAGGGACCCGATGAAGAGGCAGTGGTTGACCAAGGAGGAACGAGCAACGTTGTCAATATCCACTATGAGAAGGAGGAGCTGGAAGGTGAGAGGTTGGACTGGATGATCTTTTCCCACCTTGATGATTCTGTTAGGCGATAGCAGAACCTGCTGTGCCTGTTAACCAAGAAACACGCTCCCTTTCACAATTTTCATATTATTACTTTTTCTAATGGAGGAGGGCAGGGTGAATCCCAGAACAGTAGAGCTGGAAAGAACCTTTGGGTTCCTCCTGCTCAGACAGAACTCTATGGGCTCCATGCCCTTGTCCTGGCTCTGGGCAGCACCAAGCAGATCCCAGCCCCATCCTTCTGGGTTCCTCCTTTAGATGTTGATCTGCACTGCCCAGGACCCCCTCCCCTTTTGTCCCCCAGGTGAGCAGCCCTCTCAGCCTGTCCCCACCAGTAGGCACTCCAGGCCCCCAGTAGCTCTGCACCCTCCACGTTGCTCATTGCAGCAGTTCCCTGTCTGCCCTGAACTGGGAGCCCAGTGCTCCAAATGGCTTCTCCCCAGTGCAGATCAGAGCAGGAAGCACCTCCCTGCCCTGCTGGCTGTGCTCTGTGCAGTGCCCCACAGGGAACCTTTGGCCAACAAGGCACACTGCTGGCTCATGGTCACCCTGTTGATCGACCCTTGGTCAACTCTTGGTCAACCTGTTGGCCACCATTGACTGTCTTGTGCATGCTGCTGGCTCATGGTCACCTTGTTGGCCACCGGGACCCCCAGGTCCTTCTCTGCAGAGCTCTTTTCCAGCAGCTCAGCCTCCAACCTGCCTTTATTCCTCCCCAGGTTGAGAATGATTTTCCCTCAGTGAACCCATGCTGACTGCCTCTGATAACCTCCTTTTCTTCCATCATCACAGCTCCCTTTCTCAATGAGGCTGCTCCTGACTGGATGAGAATTGCAGACAGGGCTTCAATTCTTTGTTTTCCTCTTGTTCTTTAGCTCAGTATCAGGAGGGTGACCTGATCATTTCACCACCTTGTCCTTATTTTAAGGATAATCCCATTTCGGAATGAACAACTCTGAGCTTTGTCCAGGCAAAGCTTGAGTTGAAGAAGAGATTCAACCCTCTGGTGTTAATTTTAAAGAACCGGGAGCCATGGCTTTTTGTTGTTGTGTTGTAGCAAAACTCAAGTAAAAATAAGCCCACTGTGTCACGGTGCTGCTCACCCACAGGACACCGGACCCTGTATGTGGGTGTGCAGATGCCCCTGGTGAGGCAGAGCCACCGGCACCACCGGCCCCGCAGCCAGAAGCATCGGAAGCGCGAACGGGCAAAGGAGGCAGCCCCCGAAGAGCAGGGCTACCACTGTGAGTCCTGGGGATGAGGAGCCTTGAGGCTGGGGGGGTCTGGCTCTGTGGGGCGGCCTCGAGGGCTATAGCTGCTATTTGGGGTCAAAATTGCATTGCTGAGCAAGGGTCTCTATTTGCAAAGCTGGAGATGGGGAGCTGTGGGAGTTAGGGATGTTACTGGGCATGGAGGGGATGGGCTGATGGTTGGATTCGGTGATGCTGGAGGTCTTCTCCAACCGTCATGATTCTGTGATTCCTGTATTGAATGAGCATGGTGGGGGGTGGTTGGATTTGGTGATCTTATGATGCCTTTTCCAACCTTTATGATTCTATGATTCTCGTGCTGATTTGATGCCCGGCCAGCTGCTGTTTTGGGGGAAAATTGCATTATTGAGAGCAAGAGCCTCTGTTTGCAAACTTTTCTTGGGATTTTTTTTTTTCCAGACAATTAAACACATAGGCTCATCTTAGGGAGTCTGTCTTCATGTGGGAAAGTCACATTTATTGGAGGATGTAGAATAGATTGGAGGAGACTGGGAGGGATTGGAGGGGGGAAAAACTTATTTTCCAAAGGAGTGGTGATGCAGTGGCACAGGCTGGTGGCCCAGGGAAGCAGTGGGATCACCATCCCCAGAGGTGTTCAAGAACCATGGAGGTGTGACACCTGGAGACGCGGTCAGTGGGCATGGTGGGATGGGTTGGGGTCAGGCTGGGTGATCTCAGAGGTCTCTTTCAACTTTAATGGTTCTGTGATTCTATGATTCTGTTCATAGGGATTCTGTTCGTATGATTCTATGATTCTGTTCATTCTGTTAGGGATGTGGTTAGGGGGCATGGTGGGGATGGACTGATGGTTGCACTTGGTGATCTTATGGTTGACCTGGCCCCAACATGGGGCGTTTGGCTCTGTGCTTCTCCCATAGACACGCCATCCCAGCGGGTGCAGTTCATCCTCAGCACCGAGGAGGACGAGCAGCACGTCCCTCATGATCTGTTCACCGAACTGGATGAGATCCGTGTGAAAGAAGGCGAGGGCACAGAGTGGAAGGAGACAGCGAGGTAAATGGCAGCTCCTCCTGCATCAGGGCTGTCCGCAGTGCCGTGGGGCTGACCCCGAGCGGTGCCTGCAGGTGGCTGAAATTCGAGGAGGACGTGGAAGACGGCGGCGAGCGCTGGAGCAAACCCTACGTGGCCACACTCTCCTTGCACAGCCTCTTTGAGCTGAGGAACTGCATCATCAAAGGCACAGTGCTGCTGGATATGTGTGCCAACAGCACCGAGGAGATCGCAGGTACCTCTTGGTGTCAGGGTGGGACCGTGCGCTGCAAACCTTACCCCCAGGCATCCCATCCTTCAGAAATCCCATTGCAGTTTTGTGTCTCAAAGGTTTGTTGGGCTTTGCTTTGGCCTGGCGGCAGGCTGAGCGTTTTCTTGCAACGTAGGACCCTTCTGAGAGCCATTTCTGGGGCTGGAAATGAACACAGATCTTAGAAATGAACACAGTCTGCATAAGGGCTGAGCCTCGTTAAGTAAATTAGTTATTACCAGCTATTTCCTCACATTCTTTTTTTCCCTTTTGCCTTAACACTGAGGATTTGGGAGCTTTGAAGGCAGAGTTTATCTGGAAGATGACCAGGCAGTGTGTTTCGGGGTGAGGGGAGGAGGAAGATAATAGAAGTTAATTGGAAAAGCAGCTTTGGAGAAATGATGGTTGACTGGTGGTCCCCATTCAGCCCTTTCAGGAGGCAGGGGAGTCACAGCCATTCTCAGCACATTTCTCAGCAAATTGCAGTCATTTGGTGGAGGGAACTCAGGGAAGGTCTGTGCTGTGGGTTGCTTTTAATTTGGTTGGATACGTGGAGCAGCACTGAAAGACCAGACCAGGCTAGGAAATTGCATTATTTAGAAGGAGAAATAATTACCGTAGTTGAGCAATGAATAAGCACTTTGATGCTGTTTTTTAGCAAAAGAAAATGCTTGCTTTTGTTGCAAAAGCTCAGTTGCATTAAAAATACCTCATGGAGTAAAGCTGTGCCCGTGCTGAGCTGTGCTGCGTCCCTCTTGGGTTCTGCAGGGGTTCTCCTCTCACATCCCTTTCCCACTCTCAGATATGATCCTGGACCAGCAGAACCACTCCAGTGAGTTTGATGAGAGCATGCGGGAGAAGGTCCGCGAGGTCCTTCTCAAAAAGCACCACCACCAGAACGAGAAGAAGAGAAACAACCTCCTCCCCATCGTCCTCTCCTTCGCTGACAAGCCAGGTGAAGGGTCCTATAGGGCCAGGCACTGGGTGAAGGTTCCTGTAGGGTTTGGCACCAGGTGAAGGCTCTTGTGGGATCTGACCCCATTGGACTTGCCCTGCACGAGGATTTGTGTCCCAATTGCTCCTTGTCTGTCTTTCTGAGTCTTTCTTTCTCCTCCCAGCCCAAACGCTCATCCCCCATCCTCCTCCCACCACCATAGAAGCTAAAAATGGGGTAAGCCACGACACCAGCCCCATGGATTTAAGCAAGGTGAGATCCTGTAGCTTTCTTAGGGCTGGTTTTGCTCTTGCAAATGTGTCTACAGCAGAGTGCTGTGGGCTTCCACTTTGGGGTAAGAGCCTGAAAAGCCCTTCGTTTGATGTGCACAGGCAGAGCTGCACTTCATGAAGAAAATTCCCACTGGGGCTGAAGCAGCAAACGTGCTGGTGGGAGAGCTGGATTTCCTTCAGCAGCCCATCATGGCCTTTGCCCGCCTCACCCCGGCTGTCCTCCTCTCGGGCATGACAGAAGTCCCCATCCCAACCAGGTCTGAAGGAGAAGCACAAGGTTCTTCTTTAAAAATAACAACAAAAACCAACATCTAAATTCATCTTGAGAGAATGAGGCCAGCAGGAGCGAGTCTGCAAGCACATTTCCCCCATCTCTCATTCTCCACCTTCGTTTCTCCCTTCCCTGCTGTGGTTTCTAAGGGCACTGGCCAATGGCAGTGAACATCAACCCCAAAATTATAAAATGCACTGGCCAATTGTAATGAACATCAACCCAAAAGTTAAGAACTGCCCAACTTTAATGAAAGCCAGCTTGAATGGTCAGTTGTCAAAGGTGATGGGTTTTGATGAGTTTAAAATCCATCACCTGTGTGCCTAGTGTCAGGTTGTGCTCTGGACTGGAAGCTGCTGGGATTTCTTTGGGCGCTCCCTAAGCAAGGACCTGTTCTTCTCTCTTGTTTGGTTTTCCTCACTCAGGTTTCTGTTTGTATTGTTGGGACCAGAAGGAAAAGCCCATCAGTACCACGAGATCGGCAGGTCCATGGCCACGCTCATGACGGATGAGGTGTGATGAGATAATTCAGATCCCAGGGTCGTTTTTGGCTTTCTTCCTCTCTCCACATCTCCACTGCAGTGAGGATTTTGGATCACCTCCGCTGTAGCAAGGAAGCAGATCTGGAGACCTGAAAGCTCCCAAATTTTGCACCTAAAGCCAACACCGGGGGTCTGCATCGCCCCGTATGGAGGGCATGGTGGAGATGAGTTGACAATTAGACTGGATGACTGTAGTGCTCTTTTCTAATCTTAATTATTCTATGATTCTGTCCCAGAGCCCACATTCCCATCCTGGTTACAATCCTGCACCTCATCCTGCTCTCCAGAATCCCCAACATGCAAAACCTCTTTAAGATGACTGAAGGATGGGAGGAAATGACCCCAAATCCTATGATGCACAAATTTTTCCTTTTGGGGAAACTTGGGGGAAAACTCTTCCGCGTTTATCTGGGAGTTTATCGCGCTGGTTAGGACAACAGTGCTGCATTGTCCCCTCACCGGTTGTCCCCTACCTGCAGGTTTTTCATGACGTTGCCTACAAAGCCAAGAACCGGGCTGACCTGGTGGCTGGCATCGATGAGTTCCTGGATCAGGTCACAGTTCTGCCACCAGGGGAGTGGGACCCATCGATCCGCATCGAGCCCCCCAAAAACGTCCCTTCTCAGGTGGGTGCTGCTGTGGAGGGAGGTGTGAGGGGGTGGGTGGGAGACTTGGGAATAAATCCATCTCTCTGTTTGTACAGAAAAAAAGGAAGGTGCCCGGAGCTCTGGATGACAACGCTTCTCACAGAAAGCCTGAAAAACATAGCGGCCCTGAACTGGAGCGGACGGGAAGGTGGGAGGTTCAATATTCTTATTTGGAAAAAAAGGGGAGATTTGGGTGAGAATTGGGGTGGAAATTCTTTACCCAGAGGGCAGTGAAACCACTTCTGCCTATAGAAGTGTGGGTGCCCCATCCCTGGAAGTGCTTTAGGGTATAGACGGGGTTCTGGACAGCTGATGGAGGAGTGGGACCAACCCAGTGCAGGTGGTGAAGCTGGAGGGGCTTTGAGAACCCTTGCAAATCAACCATCCTATGGTTCTGTGATCTTGAAGGACCCTTCCAACCTAACCACCCTGTGGTTCTAAGATCTCAAAGGACTCTTCCAACCCAACCATTCTCTGGTTCTTTGATCTTTGAGCTCCCTTCCAAACCAAGCCATATTGTGGTTTTATGGTTCTATGTGGTTCTATGATGGGGTCTCAGGGTAGCTCCTTTTCATCGTTGGAGGGTTTTTTTGGTGTGTGTAAAATGGAAGAGAGACACTGCTTTTTAGCTATGGAAGCTGCTCTATGCCCATAGTTGCACAAAATTCTCCGTTCTGCCTGCTCTATCTATTTTCTTGTCCCTCCTCCAGACTCTTTGGAGGTTTGATCCTGGACGTGAAGCGGAAAGCACCGTGGTTCTGGAGTGACTTTCGGGATGCGCTGAGTCTGCAGTGCCTGGCATCCTTCCTCTTCCTCTACTGTGCCTGCATGTCCCCTGTCATCACCTTCGGGGGGCTGCTGGGGGAGGCGACCGATGGCCACATAGTGAGTGTGGGGTGATGGGGAGGAGTGTGGGGTGATGGGGAGGAGTGTGGGGTGATGGGGAGGAGTGTGGGGTGATGGGGAGGTGTGCATGGCCATGACACAATGGGACACGGCATGATGGGACTTGCTGGGTTGGCAGTTGGGCTTGATGACCTTCTAAGTCTTTTCCAACCTAGATGACGCTATGTTTCTATTTACTCTTTCTATATTTCTATTTTCAATTGCAAATTTACTTTCTTTTTTATTTTTCCTACAATAATGCTTTTCTCACATTTTTTTTTCACTTTTTTTTCATCCACAAATGCTTTGCCCACATGATTTAATTGCTCTTCTCTTCCCCGGGCAGAGCGCCATGGAGTCGCTGCTGGGCGCATCCATGACTGGCGTTGTCTATTCCCTCTTTGCTGGCCAACCTCTCACCATCCTTGGCAGCACCGGCCCTGTCCTCGTGTTCGAGAAGATCCTCTACAAGTTCTGCAAGTAAGATTGGCTGCACGGAGCCTTCTGAAGGCTGAGATTTTTTTTTTCTGTTATTTTTCTTAATGGTAGCTGTAAGATTGGAGTTGATCGGAGTTGGCTACTGTGGCATGCGCTGAGTGCATTGCATGTTCCTACCTCCAGGATGCAAGGGTTTGTGCAGAGTTTGTGGGGTTGAGGCAAACAGGATGAGGAGAAATCACATGTATGGAGATGTCCAAGATGGGACGCATGAGTGAGAGGAGACAAATCACTCTGTTTTGAGAGCATGAAGGAAGATTTGCTTTGCTCTCAGCCACAGAAGCAAGCTTTTTTTTCCAAAAGCAGAAATACATTTCGCCCAAACAGCCAAACAATTTTTCCTTCTGCTGAAATATTTTGAGATTTGATGATTTTGTTGAGGAAGCAGGAGCTTTTCATGCCAAATGCAAACCTTCTGTGACAGCCATTGCTGTGATGGCTGTGATGACAGTGATTAGCCACCCTTGCTGCAATTAATCACTCACATCATTCAGGCAGCTGGTGCTGGATGCCCAACCAGAGGGCTTTGGTGTTGGCATAGGGTGATGGGCGAACACAATGTGCTCCCCTACAAAGACCTGACCTCAGTTAGCCTCTGAGATACTGACACCGCATCACTGTTAAATAATGCTAATTACCTCATTGGCCTCTCCACCCGTGGGCCCTGCAGCCCCGCGGCTGTCTGTAGTACACGCAAACCACATTCCTTGGCACGTTCCTACATCTCTCTGGATTTTCCCTGAGGGAAAACCTGTTCGCTTTCCCTCCCATCTCAGGGACTACGCGCTCTCCTACCTGTCCCTGCGGACGTGCATCGGGCTGTGGACTGCCTTCCTCTGCATGGTGCTGGTGGCCACGGATGCCAGCTGCCTGGTGTGCTACATCACCCGCTTCACTGAGGAAGCCTTCGCCGCCCTCATCTGCATCATCTTCATCTACGAGGCTCTGGAGAAGCTCATCTGCCTGGGAGAGACCTACCCGGTGCACATGCACAGCCAGCTTGACTTCCTCACCCTCTACTAGTGGGTTTTTTTCCCCTAAAACACCCCACTGGCAGCACCTTAGGGATGCGCCAACATTGCTCCTCCTTCCCTTCCCATTGGTTCTCTCCTCCCAGCTGTAAGTGTGCAGCTCCCACCCATCCCACCAATGAAACGCTGCACTTTTGGCAGAGCAATGAGGTCAACCCTGCAGCCATCGCCTGGGAAAACCTCACCGTATCTGTAAGTGCCCGTTGGTGTCAAGGCGGTGCCAAAGCCCTTCGGATGATGTTGTGCTTCAAACTGACGTGAAAAATCACTGCTGTGGTGCGGTGCGTGTGGTGCCCACCTGCGGTCTTGGGAAGGAGTGCACCATATTCTTAGCTCTAGTGGTGATGCCTGTCACCCCCAGGCATGCTGCAGGGGCAGTATTTCTGGCTGGGAGTGAGATCCGTGATGGTGTGAGCACTGGAGGGGTTGGAGGTCTTAAGTTCATGCCTGAAGGTGGTAACTGGTTCTTTAATTGGTCCTCAGTAACTCCAGGGCTAGTTCTTATTCAGCGCTGTCTGCACCTACATGCATAAGTCTTAGTGTCTGAGCGTGCACATATCTGCATATCTGAGCGTGCACACATCTGCCTGTCTGATGTGTCCCAGGGATGAGCCCTGGGAGATGGTACTTTGTCTCTCCTTTCCTACCATGGTGATCACCTCCCTCCTTCCCTTTTTTCCCTTTACTCTGCCCCCAAGAATCCCCTTTGGGTGTCTCATCCCCCTGTGGTGCCTTCAGCCATGGCTGCATGCAGTCCAAATGGAGAACTTGCCATGACTCTGTGCCCCATCACAGCCCAATTCTCCCTCTCCCCTTTGTTGATGTGTCACTCGTTAAGCTCCCGCTGCTCCTCAGATATAAATCTCCCCTGCCAGCAGCAGGCACAAGGTCATGGATCTCGGACCAGGCCCCCAACCCTGCCCCAGTTACCCAACATTTCCTTTGAGCACATGTACCTCTTTTGCGTCCTCATGCTCTGTTTCTCCAGGAATGTCGACATTTGCATGGAGAATTTCATGGACCTGCCTGTGGACACGATGGCCCCTACACACCCAATGTCCTCTTCTGGTCCTGCATCCTCTTCTTCTCCACCTTTGTCCTCTCGAGTTCACTGAAGATGTTTAAAACCAGCCGCTACTTCCCAACCAGAGTAGGTAGAAGGTGGGGGCCAGCAGCAGGCCCCACACTCATTGCCTCAAATATTGCAGCATTTGCCACCACTGGGTCAAGAACTGCTGATGGAAGAGCCTTGAAGGCCATGATCTCTGTTGGCTTGGATGGGATCTCCATTGATTTGGATGGGATCTCCATCAGCTTGGATGGGATCTCCATTGGTTTGGATGGGATCTCCATTGGTTTGGATGGGATCTCCATTGATTTGGGTGGGATTCCCATCAACTGTTTCCTTACCATTTCTGTGAGCTCGGTGATCTCTGCATTTCCTACCTGCCTGAAGGCCTGTCCCAGTGCAGTGTATGATGACATGATTCTATGAAAATCAGATCCTCCAAAGTTATTTTTTTTCCCCTCACCATTGTGTACTCTAGAGGAAGGTTGGTTCATATGAGGAGCTGCCACAGAAGAAGATATATTTCTTCTTTATAGGGAACAAATGTACCTCAGTGCCTTATTCCCATTTCAGCAGTGAGAGTGGCTGTAGTGACAGATGTTTATTTCCAAATATTTAATAATGATTAAAATAAAAAGAACTAAAACATCCCTTTCCCCTCAATTAAGCTGTTTTCTTTTCTATCTGACACCAGATCTCACAGGGACAAACACAGCAGCAGCTTCTAACCAAGGGATTCAGCTCACGTCCTCAGAGTGGTGGGGTTTTGTTAATCAGCCTTCATGTTTTTCGCATCCCTAAGCTTTTTCATCTCGTGCTGCTCCTGTGTTTGCCATGACCCTTTCTTTGAGCATCGATTTCTTGCCCCCATAGGTCCGGTCTACGATAAGTGACTTTGCTGTTTTCCTCACCATCGTCGTCATGGTGGTCATCGACTTCCTCATTGGGATCCCATCACCAAAGCTGCACGTCCCCCATATGTTCAAGGTAATGGGGAGCTTTGGCACAGGGTTGGCTTCACCCCGTGACTGTGCTGTTGGGGACATCAACCTGCTGATAATGGGGATGGACAGGGCTGAGCCTGAGGGAAGTGCTGGTGGTATGACTTTCTTCCACCTTCCAATGCATCACTTCTCTCTGGAAACGAGAAAACAACCCTAAAACTTGATATGGACAGGAGAAATATCTATGAGTGCTTGCAAAGAGTGCTGCTGAACCCCTTAGCAGAGAGTGATGCAAGGCATTGAGAATACTTCAAAGTGGAGATGGAGGGGAAATCCAAGCTGGCAGGTGACACTAATGCTGGTGCTTTGTCCCAGCCCACCAGGGATGACCGTGGGTGGCTCATGAACCCCATAGGACCCAACCCATGGTGGACGGTGTTGGCTGCACTCATCCCAGCTCTGCTCTGCACCATCCTGATATTCATGGACCAGCAGATCACCGCCGTCATTGTGAACAGGAAGGAGCACAGGCTGAAGGTAAGTGGTTGTGAGAGGAGAATCCAACCCCAACCCTAAAAAATGCAAACACATTTGCTTGGGGCAACACAGCTCTGCTTGGCAGGATGCTCCTCTGCATTAATGATGTCACAGGGAGCAAACAAGAAGGCAGTTTGTACAGGAAACCTTTCAGAGGCAGCAAATTAACCTTGTAACAATAAGGAGGAGTGTTTTTGTTTTAAAATGTCAGCAGCAAATTTAGGGGAATGAATCGTTTTAACACAGTGCCAGGAGCCTGCCAGTCACGTCTCACTTGTGAGTGGTGGGAGTGTGCTGCAAGGATGGGAAAAAATCGATGTTTTTTGAAGAGTTAGGAGCTGTACTGAAAAAAAAAAACCCACCCTAGAGTCTGCTTTGTCTGAACTCCGGACAGATTTTCACAGGGAGAACTTGTGCAAACCTGAGCATATCTGTAGTTGTTTCCAATTGTTTTAGATTTGCAAAGAGTTGACTCGAGCTCGAGCAAGCTGCGAGTTTGGCTCATTGCTCTTCTGCTGTGGGATGCTCTGTTTCTCGTTCTGCAGAAAGGATGTGGGTACCACCTGGACCTCTTCATGGTGGCTGTGATGCTCGGGGTGTGCTCAGTGATGGGGCTGCCCTGGTTTGTGGCCGCGACCGTCCTCTCCATCACCCACGTGAACAGCCTCAAACTGGAGTCAGGCTGCTCAGCTCCTGGAGAACAACCCAGATTTTTGGGGATACGAGAGCAGAGGGTCACGGGACTGATGATCTTTGTGCTCATGGGCTGCTCCGTCTTCTTGACTGCTGTGTTAAAGGTAGGAGGAAAATGCAAAGCACCCAACAGCCTGGAGGATTTTTGGAGATTGCACAAAAGTAGTCTCTAGTCCCCTCTCCAGGTCCGAGGGGCACAGGAGGTGATCCCAAACCTTGAGGTGTGACCCATAATAGCAACTGGCCCCACTTGCACTTCCCAACCCTTCAGTTGGGCATACTTGAGGGCACCAAGCCACATCATTTTTTGATTGTCTTTTGGACCTGCCTGTGTTTATAGGCTACAGCCTCATGCATTCAGACCACTACATCCACTCTCTTTCCATCAGGCAGTAAGAGGACAGGTTGCACTGTGCTCAGAGCTGCCGTTCCTGGTGGCTAAATGTGCTGCAATCATCTCGTGCACATTCCTCCCACAAAGTCATTTAATCTCCAGGCTGAAGGCAGGCACGCCACCTCTGCATGTTGCCACAGGAATATGCAGAGCTGTTTTCCTGCCGTCACAGAGTGCAGCATATGGTAGCATGGGTGAAATCACCTATTTTCCTGCAATCTTTCTGGAAAATTGGATTGTTCTGATGAAAAAGTCGCTCAGAAGTTCTGCCTAAAGCAGAGCGCTTCTCACATGCATGCACAAAATGTCCAGTGGATAAAATTCGACACATCTCCAGCCCTGTGGGAACTGGAAGGCTTTGGGCAACTTTATGCAAAATGAAAGGATAAGATTGAAAATGCAATGGCTTTACTTAAAATAGCATTCCCTTTGCAGTTTATACCAATGCCTGTGCTGTACGGTGTCTTTCTCTACATGGGTGTATCGTCGCTCAGAGGAATCCAGGTATGGACTGTTGCACCACGCAGATGTTTGCTCCCTGATATTTCATCTTACTGAGAGAAGGGGAAAAAAAGGTCTTGCAGCCAGTAGTGGGGGAAAAGAGAAAAGCCTCTTCAAGTGCAAGAGATGGAAATAGAGAATCATATTGGAAGGAACCCATAAGGGTCATGGAACCCAAATTGTTGCTTGGAGGTGGAAGAGGCAGAGGAAGGGGGTCTGCAGGGCTGAGAGGAGCGGGTGGGTTTGGTGCTCTCTGTGTTATGTTCTCAGTGCTTTGTTACGTGAAGATGGGAGAATTTGATGCAAGTGGAAGGAAATGTCTCCCTCTCGTGGAAGTTGTTGCTGGAGGATTCACTAGGCAAAGGAAAGTTAATTATAGAATCACGTGGGATAATTGCAGTTTGGTGATGGCTCTGTGGGGGTTATGTTCCCACAGGAAGAGATCAACGCTTATTGTGAGAGCCCTAATAAATTCCTACAGGTCTCAGTAAGGCCAGCAACTCCCTGCAGTCCCACGGTGGCATCTCCTCATTGTTTTGCAGTTCTTTGACCGCCTGAAGCTGTTTGGGATGCCGGCCAAGCACCAGCCTGACTTCATCTACCTGCGGCACGTGCCGTTGCGCAAAGTGCACCTCTTCACCCTGGTGCAGCTCACCTGCCTCGTGCTGCTCTGGGTCATCAAGGCGTCCCGTGCGGCCATCGTCTTCCCCATGATGGTTGGTGGCTCTCAACAAGATGCTTTCAGCATTGAACGGGGTGTAGTCGTGCCTCTGGTCTCACCATGGCTTCCCTTAAGGTCCCTTCCAACCCAACCATTCCATGGTTCTGTGACCTCTAAGGGCTTTTCCAGCCCAACCATCCTATGGTTCTACATTCTTGAAGGACCCTTCCAGCCCTACCATCCTATGTTTCTGTTTCTGAAGGTTTTGGCTCTCGTTTTTGTCCGGAAAGTCCTGGATTTTTGCTTCTCGAAGCGAGAGCTCAGCTGGCTGGATGACCTCATGCCAGAAAGCAAGAAGAAGAAGTTGGACGATGCCAAAAATGAAGCCAAAGAAGAAGAGGTAATGCTACTGGGTGCCCGGGGGCTGTGAAATTTCTATCACAGCCAGTCATTAAACGGTGTGAGGAGTCTGGAACTAAGCAGAAGGAGATTCCAGTGGCTTTTGGCAACCATTTTTTTACCCTAAATCATCACTTGAACAGACATACATTAAGCTTAACTGTTGAACAATCATACAACTTTAAAATGCCTTCTAAAATAAAATTGTTTTATTGTTGTTATTTTTATCATTATTATTATTGGAAAGATTTGCTCATCGTGGGTCTTTAAACCCCCAAAATGTTTGGAGCGAAAGGTTTTCTTCCTGCTCCATCAGTGCTACAGCTGCCGAGGACCAGGAGGGGCAGCATGCAATGTCTGTGTGGGGTTTTTGCTCAAAGACAGGAGGTTGATCTGCCCTTCTGCTGCAGGAGTCTCAGCAAATGATGGAAGCTGCTGCTGCAAACTCAGTCCAGCTGAGCCTGGGGAAGACGAGCTACGTGGGTGTCCCCAAGCAGAACAGCAGGGACAGGTAAAGACCCATCACATGCCAGGCATGGTGGGATGGGTTGGGGTTGGACTGGATGATCTTATAGGTCATTTCCAACCTCAGTGCTCTGTGATTCTATTCCGGGACTCGGTGAGTGGGCTTGGTGGGGATGGGTCAGTGGTTGGACTTGACGATTCACAAGGTCTTTTCCAACTGTAAAAACTGGTTCTATGATTGCAGGACCGACCCTTCTGAGATCAACATCTCAGATGAAATGTCGAAGACAACTGTGTGGAAGGCTCTCACCATGAATGCAGAGAAACTCTGAATCCGAGGAGGAAAAAGGTAAAAGGTAATGGTAATGGTGAATGCGACCGTGCTGCTCTGCAAGCCACAGCGCCAAAGAGCATCAGGCAGCAAGTACTGGGGAAATTGAGATTGGAGGATGGATGATTTTAGAGGCCTTTCCAACTTTAATGATTCTGTTTCCCTCTTTTTCTTTTTTCTCCCCTCAGTTGTCCTCTTTAGGGATCTTGGCTTTGAAGGAGAGGAGCGAGAGCGTGACTCAGGGATGAGCCGGTGCAGCTATGTTGGGTGGAGGAAGCAAACACGCACCCTCCCTGGTTCTCTCCTCCGAGTAGCAGGATTCCCATTAAAGCCATTTAAGACGTTTCCAGTTATCCTTGGTGTGCTTCAGGCATTCAGTATCTCTAGACCAGCAATCTGAGGTGCACCTCGCTGTCAGTGGGAGCTCGGTGTTGCTCAGCCTCCGTGTGTACGTGTGTGTGCGTGTGTTGTCACGGTCTGTGGTGGTAGAGGGGCAGCTACCGCTTGGTCATTCAGTGCTATCTAGTTTTTTTTTTTTATATCTAATCTCTCCCCCCATCCCCCCCTCATTTCCCTTTTTCTGTCCAAATATAAACTCTGAATGTACAAAAGAATTTTCTGTTATATTTGACGCATTCTACACTTCTTCGTCACTGCCAGATTTTGGGCTTGGTTCGGGGTCCTTGCTTGGATTCGTTCTTCCCTTCTATCTCTTACCGGTGTGGGAGAGATGTCCTTTGTGGTGGGAAGTGCAGAGAGAAAGGAGAAGTGTTTGTTCCAGTTTTGCCATCATTTTTTTGCTTTGACCCCAGAATCAGCAGGTGCCCATGGAAGGGCTTGGAATTGAGTGATCTTTAACAACTCAACGGATTGTTCTATGATCATTGATCATTCAAAGATCATTGCTTCTATGATCTTTGAGGTCCCTTCAACACAGTCTTCCTATGATTCTATAGCCTTTGAGATCGTTTCCAACCCAACCATCTTATCATTCCATGATCTTTGAGGTCCCTTCCAAGCCAACCGTTCTGAGGTTCTATGATTTTTCAGGACTCTTCCAACCCAAACCATTCTGTGGTGCTTTGATTCTAAAAAGCTGAAATGCCACCTTCTTGTCCCTGGCTGTGAGTTGGATATAAGGAAACTCCTAAAACCCACTGCTTTAAATAAACCACGTAGTCACGGGAGCAGCCAGCCACATCCATTGCTTTCCTTGCTTTACATCCTCAAGAATACTCTGCTCATTTTCTTTGCCCCCTACCCCATGCAAAAAGCCTTTTCTCTTTCAAGGTAGCATGGAGCATCAGGAAAATGAATTATCTTCAATGTCCCTTCCAACCCAACCATTCGGTGATTTTATGGAAGCAGGAAGAGGTTTTTCCTTTTTGCTTTCCCTGCTGCCCTGCGGGAAGATACTGTTGAGCATGGATGGTACCCATGTGCTCCTCACATTTTGGGAGCCATTGGGCTGTGCTCTGACCCCTGAGACAGACTCCCTTGGGTGGCCACGGAGCCTGGGAGGAAAGGGAACACAGAAGGGACAGTTGTCCTGTCCCCATCCCCATGTGAAGTGGCTCCAGGCACTTGGAGCTGCTGCCATCTCCTCATCCCATTTGCTGTCCCATCCATCGGTTCAACCTTTCCTTGCCTCAGATGAACCCAGAACACTGATAAATGGATGGGGGAAAATAATCTTCTGTAAGGATGTCAGTGGTGCATCAGCAAACAGGGCAGAAAGTCACTGATTTGGATTTGCAAACTGTGCTTTGGTGGCTGGTGGCTGTCAGAGAAAGAGAAAGGGATTTACTTCTTGCAGGGTAAAATAAACTTGAGTTGGAGGAAGGAAGAGCTGCAAAGCCTGGGTTTGCTCAGTGCACGAGAGCAGTGCAGCTCTGACCTTGGAATTATTCACCCTCTGTCTGCAGGACAGCTGCTTTCTGTCTATTAGCCTCTGATTATGAGCAGAAAAGTCAGTCTCCACTCCTGTTCGCCCCAGAAGGGACTGGGGCCAGGGGATGGGATTGTTTTCTACATGCACCCACAGCTGGCATTGAAGGAGCAGAAAAGTCCCAGCCATGAAGGCAAATATTGTCGGTTCCTTATGTTAAAAGCAAACCAGGCTTCCTCAGAGTGCCCTGGCACAGGATTCACAAACATCCGGATCTGAAATGATTTTTTCCCCTGTTTGCAGGCCTAGTTTTCTCTCCTTCATTTTATTTTTAAGTTATTATTTAAAAGGAAGCAGAGTTCTAATTCTTAATGCCACTATTGCAATTGCAGCTGCAGTTCTTGGTGCTGCTGCTTCGTTTACTCACCACGAACCCATGGATTGCTCTGTATGAGCAGACTTGATTGGGGCTGGTGATCTTAGAGGTCTTTTCCAATCGTAAGGATTCCACGATTTGGGGAGGATTTGATATTTCCATGTAGGGGGCAGGGAGCATCCCAAAGGCAGCCCTGGAATCAGCATGGGATTAAAATCACTTCCTTGCAACATGCCGTGTTGGTTCGGTTGGCAGCAAACTCCATTCCCCCGATGCAGGATGGGTGCTGGGGTTCATCCTCATCTCTGGTGCCTTAAAGCAGCTCCTGGGGCCATGCACAAAGGTGGCTCTGTTACATGAGGGGGCTTTGGAAGCACTGGGGGTGCGAGGAGGAGGAGGAAAAGGAGGAGGAGGAGGAGGAGAAGGAAGAAGGATCACCACCAGCAGTGCAAAAAGCAAAGCTCCCCTCTCCCATAGGATAAAAAAATCCCAAATGAATCCTATGGAGAGCCCTAAGTGAAGAAGGGCGGGAGGAAAGTAAGAGGGTAATAAGCTTGGTGCTGGCACTTCTGTTTTGTCCCGGTATATTCTCCTTTCTGCCATTCTGAATGTAGAAATAGAGGAATTATTTTTGTTCCGGAGATACTGAAATGAATTTATTTTTGTTGCAAGAGATGATCTAGTTTGGAAATGCACAGTGTTGTAAATAAAACGGGGAGGAAAAGAAAACACCCGACCAAATCTGTGTTGTCTCCCAGTTCTGAATTTTAATTTATATGTTTTTAAAGAATTCGATTTATTTAGGGCTCATTCTGTGAAACCCAAATGCCATCACTCCATGTCGCTGTCTCGTGGTTCCTGTCTCAAATTGTTGCTGCTATTGACATGTTCCACCATCCCAGCCCCATCTGCTGGGTTTTCTCTGTTGTTCACTGACCACAATGGGAAAACAACCCAATAAAATCTGTTTGTGTCTCTGTGCTGCTCCGGTGTCTGTTGAAGGGCTGTGGTGCTGATGGAGAGGGTTGGAGGTGTTCCTGGAGATGTTTATGGATGTCTCAGACAGGTGGGGGAGTGAGCAGCACTGATCTGGGGGAAATCCATTCCCTTTGGTTCTTGAGAGCTGATGGGAAAGATGTGACATTATTGGGGGTTTTTTTGAGCAACATCACTTTGTGTCCTTGATCTGTAGCAAAACTCCACCCAGAGAGAGCAGTCCCTCTGTCGTGTGAGGTTTTCTTTTGGTACTGCTTTCAATACAAACAGGGCAGAATTAAACAAAATATGTTCTACTCATCTTTCATACTCCTTTATTTAATCTTAGAGCCATAGGTCTGAGCAGATGGGATACTCAAGGGGGGTCTGGAGGGGGCACCCTGGTTACCATCTACCTAAAATTGAAGGAATTTGGAGAAAAACGGGGCACCTGAACCAGCCCCTGGTCAGAGATTGGTTCTCCCAAAGTCCTCAGGCAGCAGCATGCAGGATCCCCATGGGGTGCTGGGGTGGATTGGAGCACCCAGAACCAGAATTAGGAAGGGCAGCACGGCAGGAACGGGGGGTAGAGAGGAAATAAATTGGGCAGAGATGCTGAGCTGCAGCGCTGATTTCAGCAGGGGATTGGGAAACACCATGCGGGCTTGTGCAGTGGTTCCATGGATCAATCCTTTTGCAGAGGGTCAGATTGCTGCTGGTGATGCAGGGGTCCCACAGCCATGGGTGCACGCTGGAAAGCCTGGGATTGCTGTTTAATTGTACCTTTTAAAAAGGAAATAATAAGTACATAAATGGAGAGAGAGAAAGAGAGAGAAAGAGAGAAAGAGAAAGCAAGCAAGCAAGCAAGAAAAAGAGAGAAAGAGAGAAAGGGAAGGAAGGAAGGAAGGAAGGAAGGAAGGAAGGAAGGAAGGAAGGAAGGAAGGAAGGAAGGAAGGAAGGAAGGAAGGAAGGAAGGAAGGAAGGGAGGAAGGAAGGGAGGAAGGAAGGGAGGAAGGAAGGGAGGAAGGAAGAAGAAAGAAAGCAACTGAGCACCAAACAGTTTAACAGAACAGAAACTCTCCCACACACAAAGTGAAAATGGCTGAGCACAGCTCAGTGCAAAACTGCTCCTGCCCCGTTGTTGATGGTTGGGCTGCATGGATGGTTATACGATCTTGATGGTCTTTTCTGACCTTAATAATTCTATCATTCTTTGATTTCATAAACTATTTAACCCCCTACCCCCCACCCCGAAAGCTGCTTCACTTTCCTCAGTGTCCTCTATTGCCAATAAGCACTGGATAAAACCCACACGAGAGCAAAAGGAAGAGGTTGTGTTGGGAAGTTTTGCACCCAGTGTGTGGATGCATTTTGAAACAATCCTTTTTGGTGTTGGATGACTTACGCTGCTGGCAGCATGGCCAGGAAGGGGACGCTGCGGGGCTGCTCCCTCATGTACCTCTTGGTGGAGCTGTGGAAATAAGACAACAGCCATAGCAGCCACAACACGAGGATGCTCCAATGAGAGTGTGCTGGGGACTTCATAAAATGCTTTTCATTGCCTCTGGAAATGGGATGAAGGAGGATGTGTAGCCAGAAATCCAACCGTACCCAACGTGGCTGGTATTTGTTGGGTTTCAGCACTTTGAAGTTTGTTTTTTGGTCACGGGCAAAATTTAAAATATGGGCTGCTGCGAGAATGACATCAGTAAAAGCAGAGATAATTATTGGCCTCATGTTGCATCAGGAAAGGTTTGGGTTGGGCGTTAGGAGATGTTTTTTCTTCAAAAGAGTGGTGATGCATTGGCACAGGCTGCCCAGGGAGGTGGTGGAGTCCCCATCCCCGGAGGTGCTCATGAACCATGGAGATGTGGCACCTGGGGATGGTGGAACGGGTTGAGGTTGGGCTGGATGACCTTCGAGGTCTTTTCCAATCTCAGTGATTCTACGACTCTATTTAGAGCCGTGGTTTAGGGAGCAGTGTTGGTGGTAGGTGGATGGTTGAGCTGGGTAATCTTAGAGTTCTTATCCAACCTTAATGATTCCATGATTCTATGATTCTATTACTGTTGTCCTTTTGCACTGGGGTGTTTCCCTGCATCATCCTGCTCCCCTCTCCCCTCTACCTGTATCGTTTGGTGTTGATGAGCCAATGCACAAAGTCCTTGGCCTTCATCTTGTCCAGGTAGCGTGTGAAGTCGCTGGTGAAGGTGCCCTCCGAGTGCCGCTTCGTGTTGGATGGTGCTTCGTATGAGGGCCATCTGAGGGCAAAAATGGGGCAAAATGCAGGGATTAATGCACATCAAATAGAAGGGCTCCTGTGCCCTCCCTGCAGGAGGCTGCAAAATGCTGCAACGAATGGAGCAGCATCCAGAAAATCTGTAACAACACATAAAAATAACAGTGGGGATCTGACAAGCCCGGCCAGTATTGTCCCTTAAGTGCATGAGACGTCCTGTTCTGTGCCCTGGACCTCTCTTGGCTGCATCTTTATGGACACCTTCAGCTCCAGGGATCTCATCACTGCTGCTCTCAGCCCTCTGCAGACGGGGAGCTGAAGGGCCAGCCCCTCCTGGCACAGAGACCACAGAGGTTTTCCCATCTGCACAGTGTGGAGCCGGGCTCAGCACCGCTCTGGGTGTCTGCCTCTGCATCTCCCCATGCAGCAGAAATCTCTGCTCTTTGTGGTGTTCTGCCATAGCTAACAGCTCCTACACATGCTGCCTTTGGCCTCGAGGGGGGGGGGGGGGGCAGTTGCCTTTGTCCCCATAGGGATGGGAAGGAGAGAGGCACCCAGCCCTGCTCGCCACATTGCCAACACAACCTTTGGGTCTGGGCAACGTGAAACCCCTGTGGGACGTGGCAATGCGGGCTGGCAGAAAGGATGAATCCAAAGGGATCAGGCACAGCTCAATAGCGAGGGGCTCAGCTCTCAGCCTGCAGCCTGCCTGCAGCCAACCACCCAACGCCATACCTGAGTGCATCTCCTGTGTCCCTCGGAACCACCTGCCACGCTGCTGGGATCAGCACAGCCAACACCAGCCCAGAGAGGTACAGCCAGCAGATAAACTTCATTTCTCCTCCTGGAATTCGGATAGAAAAGTACAGCTTGCCATCGCTGTGGAAACCCCTCTAACCCTTCCAGCGTGGTAAGGATGGGTGTGGAATAAGAGATCCCTGCCAGGAGTGCCAGCAGCACTGTGGTGGGTGCACAGCTGAAAACCCATTCCCATCACTATCCATCAGCACATGGTCCTGGCTGTAGGCACACAGGGTTTGTAGGATCCAAAGACAAAATTCAACTCCGCTGCCAGCCACCCCCCACCCCCTTCCTACCCAGCAGCAATATTCCTTCCTCACACTCATCACCACCATACTGTGGGACTTTCCCCACCACCAGCTGCTCAAAGAAGCCGCGTTACAAAGAGTTGGCTAATTAGAGTTCTACATTTCCTAACGGGGCTGCACGGCTCAGAGGGTCTAAAATACACCCCCCTCCCCCCACCTCTCGTTTGCAGAAAATTAGATTTTTGGTCTATCATCAGGCAATCATTACTTTAATTTCTTCAGAGATTGATAGGAAAGAAGGGAGCGAAAGGCACTTACCTTCTTGCGAGGACAACCGCTCCCTAAAAGCAAGATCCTATTTCCCTCCTTTGCTGGTTGTGGCTCAACTCTACTCCTTCCTGGTGCTTTTAAGCTTGTTAGCAGGATGCTAAAAGCTGACAGGTAGGTCATCGGTGCTCCTCTTTTTAGTTGGATGGGTCATTATGAATCATTACAGGATTTTTTAAGAGGGGCCGTTGCAAAAATATAGTTGTTGCCATATTTTTCAGCTTACGCCTTCAGCAATGAGTTGATTAGGTTGCTTTTTTTTTTTTTTTTCTTCTATTCTTTTCATTTTTTTGGTCATTTCTTTTTCTCTTATCTTTGAATTTCTTTTTCTTTTTTTTTTTTTTTTTTTCATAGCTTGGACCAAAGGAGTGACCCATGGGTTTCAAGCTTCCAGGTGCAACGGTCACCATTTTCACAGCACATCGTGCACAGGGAGGTGATTTCTGTGCCCGTAGGACTGCCTTTCCAAACACCTTTGATATGAGTTGAAAATATTAAAAATGAAGGGAGGAAAAAAAAATAAAAGGGAGTGGAAAAGTAAATGAAGCATCTGGGTGCACGAGCACTTGCTGCTGCTTTCTGCAAGGTGAAATTCAGGCTCAGAGCTCCAAAGATGGGCAGACACCTCTCTCAATCCAAGCCCAGTGCTGTCCCTTAAGGCCAGGTCAGGTATGGGGCCGTTCACCACCGTTTCTCCCATTGGGGGTGAGTGGAAGCAGCTGCAGATTTGAGCCAGAGCTTTATCCCGTGGGACATCTGGGCTCAGACCAGGGGCTGGGGAACATCTGGAACTCATCAGGACGAGGACAATGGGTTCTGCTGGGGTGTCTCCTGAGAGCTGGGCTCATCCCTTTAAAATCCATGGAAACGAGGCTGGAGGGGAGCAGAACTGCCAGCTGTGGGGTGCTGACAGCCCCTGACTGACACAGCCCTGAGCTCCATGGCCATCCCAGGGCAGGGGTTCCTGAGGGAGCATTGGGGGAACCCAGGAACTCATGTTTCAGTGCTCAGGGGCTGAATGTGCCCATTTCAGCCCAAGTGCCCATTTCACAGGTGCAGAGAACAGCAAGCCTGAGGGAGATGGGCCACGTTTCTCCCTCACCCAGCACCACCAGGGCATGAAGGCTCGAATCCCCGACTTCCCCACTGCTTACCGTCTCTCCCCTGGGACCTTTCTTCTCACTGTTGGGTAGTTATTATTATTCTACCAAAGAGATTTCTGTAATTATTATTACTGTCAAAATACGACTGGTGTTCAAGGGACACTCAGCTTGAAGAGCCTTTTAATTAGGGCCAGCAATGGCCTTACGAGGAAGCCTGACATCAGAGGAGAAAGGTAGGAGATTAATTAGCTCAACCTTCAGACGAGAGGTCCAGATGTCCCACCCATCACTTGGATGGAACATTCATTAATGCCACCAAATTAGCTCTCAGTGGCACTGCTTGTGGTGCCCCTGGGAAAGGGCACGAGATTTCTGTGGCAGTGCAGAGAAATCCAACTCAGTCCATGCAACGCTTCCATGGTGTGTCTCAGTTTTCTCCACAGGGGTTCCAGGTGTCAGAGTGCTGTGTCCCATGGGACTCTTCCTCTCCCCTCCACAGCTAATTTTCTCTGGCCCTTTGGGACGCATTCATGGAGAGTCTCGAGTGGAAGGGACTTATAAGGATCACTGAGTCCAACTCCTACGATAGTCTTCCCTTTCTAGGCATCTTTAGCCCACCTATTAGTGTCTCTCCCATGCTGGACGATGGCACTGTGGGGGCACAGAGCCGTGTGTTAAGTTACACGCACAGATCTGAATTTTGCACTTTCTTTAGGGCTCGGAGAGGTTTTTATGGGCAGCAGGTGGCAGCCTCTCTCTGCCTGCCCTTTGTCTATCTGCCCTTCCTCTGCCTCGCTGCCACCATCTCTCCGTGGATCTCAAAGTACACACTTGTCCTGCTTGCTGCACCTTGCCTGCAAGGAAAGAGGGTTGGGAAAACGCCTGGGCCATATTGCACACCTCAGGTTCATCAGTGCTTGGATCAGCTCTTCCATCCTCTGAAGAAGGGCATTTTCCCATCAAGTTCCCCCAGGACTGAGCATGTGATTGATCTACCAGCTTTGGTATCTGCATCTTTGGGAGAAGCAGCAGTAGCCATGCGGATCCAATGGGAACAGTGGGACACAGTCTTATAGGGTTGTCCAAAATCAGGCCAGAAGCTAAATAAGTTTAGGCTTGAAGTGCAGCGAAGACATGCTGAATATTGCTGAATATCACACTGCCAGCAGCTCTGGGGCTTGGATTCCCTGCCTGGAGCGAATGGATGAGGATGGCATCCTTTACAAAAGCTCGCAGGCGACCATGAAGGCACATTAAAAGCAACAAACCACCCCGATACTCCCATCCTGTAGCTGCAGGCTCAGCCAAACTGAGCAGTGGTTAATTTTGGAGGGATTTACTGCGATTAAGAAAGAATAAAGGCTGAGATTCGCCTTCTTGGATCCTCTGCCATTCCGCACAGCTCTGTGGGGAGCATGTCGGGTCCAACCCAGCTGAAAAGAGCAGAGAATGGGAAGCCCATCCCTGTGCAGCCCCTAACCCATGCTAGAGAGCCCCTTGAATCAGCTTTGTGCTCTCCCTGCCCCTGTGGCTGAAGGTGCCATTGGCCTCCCCCTCCCCAGCCACAATTAGAGGCAATTTTATACCCATTCTGTCAGAGCTTGCTGCTGCCAAGGCATAACAGAGCACAGAAAGCCCTCCTTGGGTCAGTGCTTTCACCTGAAACATCTCCTTCAGGGTGACCCTGAGGTCATGGTTTCAGTTTCAGCATCGTTTCGGACTTTTTCACCTGTTTTCCTTCACAGGTGTTCTTTAAAAGCAAAAGGAAAGCCATTAAAAAAGATACTCTGTGTTCCCAGCAAGGTATGTTGGCAACTCTTGAGGATCCTGGCTTGTTTTGCTGCCCCTTTTTCACCTTCATGCATGTTTTTTGGGGCAGAACCCAGTATCTGCCTTTGATGCTGCAGCCTCCTGCTCACAGTTGACCTTCACTGCCAGGAGGAGGAGTACAACAGGGGGCAGAGATGGGGCTGAGCTGTGGGGCAGGCTATGATGAGCTGGGTGGGAACCATAACTCCATAAGAATGGGGGATCATTGCTGTGTAGCCCCTCCTAAAAGCACTCCCAGGCTGTATCCACCCTCAAGGTGGATCCCCATTTTGGATGAATCTGTAGTTTTTCTCCCTTCAGTGCCAGCAAAGCAGCAGGAAACTGGGTGAGATCTCTGGATCTCCCAGCTCCCGCTGCTCTCCTAGCCCTGAGCACCCTCCACAAGCACCAAAAGACCACATGCATGGAAAGGAATGCTGTTGGTTGTCATGGCCAAGGGCATGCATTCCATATGGGAATGGAAGCCTGGAGAAGTGGAATTGATTTTGGTAGCTGGTAGAGGGAGGAGAAAGTTGCTTGTACCCAAAAACCAAGCAGGGATGGGTGGGCTGATGGAGAACTGTAAGCAGGGGCCATAGGGAGCTTACAGCTGGGAGATGGACACCCACTGTGTATGCCACACCAGTGGCACCTCCTGCACAGCATCTCTGCTCCTTCTCATCGGTGGGAAGTGATGGTCACTGGGGGCCACGTGAAGCCCAAGTCAGAGGCTCTGTCCTCGCTATTGAGTGAATCCATGCATCAGTGGGCACTCAGCACAATGCCCTGCAACGCACTGAAAGGTGGGTGCTTCCCTGTTGCATTGAGCTGGGCTGGAGCCAATGGGATGAGTTTCAACAAGGCCAAATGCCGGGTCCTGCACTTCGGCCACAACAACCCCAGGCGACGCTACAGGCTTGGGGCGGTGTGGCTGGAGGACTGCGTAGAGGAAATGGACCTGGGGGTATTGATTGATGCTCGGCTGAACATGAGCCGACAGTGTGCTCAGGTGGCCAAGAAGGCCAATGGCATCCTGGCTTGCATCAGAAACAGTGTTGCAAGCAGGAGCAGAGAAGTGATTGTTCCCCTATATTCAGCACTGGTGAGGCCGCACCTCGAGTACTGTGTCCAGTTTTGGGCCCCTCACTGCAAGAAAGATATTGAGGTCCTGGAACGTGTTCAAAGAAGGGCAACAAAGCTGGTGAGGGGCCTGGAGCACAGGGCTGATGAGGAGAGGCTGAAGGAGCTGGGAATGTTCAGCCTGGAGAAGAGGAGGCTCAGGGGAGACCTCATTGCTCTCTATTACTTCCTGAAGGGAGGTTGTAGTGAGCTGGGGGTCGGCCTCTTCTCTCGTGTCATTAGTGATAGGACCAGGGGGAATGGTTTCAAGCTACGGCAGGGGAGATTCAGGCTGGACATGAGGAAGTATTATTTTTCAGAAAGGGTGGTCAGGCACTGGAATGGATGCCCAGGGAGTTGGTGGAATCACCGACCCTGGGGGTGTTCAAGGAAAGACTGGATGTTGTGTTGAGGGACGTGGTTTAGTAG